TGCCCATTTTTTAAGTAATTAAATAACAACCACTGAAAAGAAATCTTCCAAACGTTTTAAGATGTACTTTGGTCTTGTGTCTCTCTCGTTGTGTGTATACAACAAAAAGTTTGACAGTTTCCAACTCACCACGATGTCAAAAGGCGCGATAATATACTCTACACACTGAAATACTCTACACACCATGCACAAGCACAGCGGTTGCTTTGAATATATTGGATTGAATCAACTAATTTTGCATGAAATGATATTCATTTATTTTCAAATTGGAAAAAATATTCACCGCTAGATATTTCGTGAATCGTGTGACACCCAACTAGAATATCTATAATGTTGACGTTTGACTGAAATATTAGAGCCGAACATGAACAGACGTGTTCCAAACGGCATATCAACGATGTCTATATGTCCAAGCATGTTCGATTTTGTATGCTACTCGTTTGTTCACACGGCGCTCTGCACTGACTTTCACATACAAGCTGTGTGTTCAATACGTTTGCTTGCAGTGTTGAAACTCAATCAGTGTTCCGCGTTCAGTCAATATGGTTTCCAGCTAAGTCTTATCGTGTCAAGTGAAATCGAATTAGAGAAATTTTCCTCCATTTGAAATACTCACATTAAAAAAAGATTCTTTCCTTCGTTTTCTTCCGAAAATGTGACAAATTCGTGTTTTTTTTTCAAGCCCGAATATCAATTTGTGTTCATTTTTTGAATTTCATCATCGAGTCTTGCCTTCGCAAAATGGCCGAGAATCTACCATACACAGTGAAAAATTCAGATGGTCAACAAAATTGCGTACGATGCAACAAAACCATCAAAGCGACGTCATTGCAATTGGGTGAAATTACTCAGGTAAATGTTTGTTTTTCGAGTATTTATAAAAGTTCTGCTTAATTTCTGAAACATTTATCAAATCCATCGACACAAACCACTCATTCATTATAAGTCTATCACATACACTTTTCAGTCTGAAAAACAAGACGCAAAAATACCAAAGTGGTACGACATCGATTGTTTTTTCAAAAAAGTACGACCAGCCTCCGAAAATCTCTTCAATCATTTCGCCATTCTCCATAACACAGAGAAAAATCAGATCCGAAAGCGAATCGGTAAAGTACTACACTCGAATCTTTCGACTACTGAAAATATACAGACAAATACAGTGTTTGTGTCTTTTTTCTCATTCTTTTTCCGCAGCAAATGGCAACGCAAAAGGCAAGAAAGGAGTGAAGCGGGCGGCAGTGAATGTTTCGCCAGTTCCATCGGAACTACCGTCCATCAAGGACTTTTCAGTTCAGTATTCTCAATCTGGCAAAAATGTGTGCAGCGGTTGTATTGAGCCAATTGCAAAAGGCAAAATAGAAACCAAAAAGGTTGTCAAGGCAACTGGTTCGGCAGACATAAGTGTTTGGTACCATTTGGAGTGCTTTACGAAGCATTCGTCTAAACTTGGTTGGAATGGTCCATCGACAAATTTGCCCGGATTCCAGAAATTGAATAAAAAAGACAGGGAAAAGCTGAAGAAAAAAATGGGGTAAGTCAGTCTTGATTTTAACACAACAAGTCAATTGAACAATGGCAATATTGATAAATTTGAACAAAGAATCAAATAGACGGATTTTAAGAAAAATAACAGTTTATTGAAGAATCTTTAGCTCAAAGTCATTTGAGTAAATGGGACCATTGTTCATTTTGTTCTACAGATCAAAGGAAGAAAACAACAATGAGCCACCTAACAAGAAACTGAAAACCGGGTCGCTGGACGACGTTAACGCTATCATTGAGCAAAATATCACAAAACAGAATAAACAGATTCATGATTGGAAAGAAAATCTTGAGAAGAATCTCAAGCCACAGGAGCTGATTGCAATTTTGCAAGCGAACAATCAATTTGTGCCGAAGGAAAATGCAGAGGTAAGTTCGTTTGTTTTTTTCTCTCGTAAAATGTAATAGGCTACATCAAACAAAATTTAGATTCTGTGTTCATACAATTTGATTTGTTTATATACAGATTTTAATGCACACAGCGGATATTCTATATTTTGGAGCATTGCAACCGTGTGATAAGTGCAAGGATGGCAAATTCATCTTTGGGAATTCGTCGTACAAATGCACGGGCAACTATTCGGACTTTACTAAGTGCAATAACGAGCTTAAGGTGCCAATACGGTTTGCTGTCAAAATACCGCAACAAATCCAAAACACACACCACTTCTTGAAGCAGAATTTCAACGTAGAGATTCGTGCAATCAAAATTATTCCAGACAATTTGCTGTATGTACAATAACAGAGAATCGCTGACAATGTCTTTCTTCTATTGAATTTTCGATTTTTTTCTGCGCTAGGATGAACAGTGACAAACCGCTATTCGACATGGAGTTTGCCATCACCGGAAACTTTGGCAAGAAGTCCAAGGAAATCAGGAGTACCATTCAAAAGTTAGGTGGTACAGTGGCCCCATTATTCCTGAGTAAAGAGAAAACAGCCGCTGTGATTTCAAAGGTGGAAGAGGTGCAGAAAGATGAAAAGGATATGCTGCCACTAATGAAAGTGGCGAAGCAACTGGGCATCCAGGTCGTACCTGAAGATTATTTGGACGCAGTCAAGACAGCCGATCCATTTATGTTGATAAAAGAGAAGAATTTAAGCACATGGGACTGCATTGATGTGAGTGAATTTATCCACATTGCCGAAAATATATTTATAAATCGCACCATTTGCGTTATCATTTCAGCCTTCTAAGCGTATAGCGCGAAACGGTGTGATCGTGTCAAAATCCGACAGTTTTTATGATGAAACACCATCCAAAGTTCAAAAATGGAAGAGTATGTGATATTCTTTTGGTCATTGTTCTGAAAAAGACAAGACAACACAAATGAATGCATTGACTTGTTTTGTTTTATTCTGTTCTGTTCTGTTCTGTTCTGTACAGATGGAGTGGCTGTTGATGAAGAGTGTGACTTGGAAAATACTCATGTTTATTTTGGACTTGCTCAAAATTCTGCAATGTTATTCATTGCGTCGATGACATTGGTAGACATTGGGCAAAACAAGAATTCGTACTGTCGATTGTCGTTGATCGAGTCGGACGATAAGAATAGGTATGACGATGAAATGTTTACATTCCATTCCATGGGTTAGCATTTTCTTCTCGTACATTGCCCGTAGCTATTGGATTTGTGAAAAACAGGGGCGAATCTCAACGAAAATTGGCGATACAAAACAGAAGTTGTATAAAAATGTAAATTCTGCAGTGGAGGCATTCAAAGAGCGCTATCAGGAATTGACTGGGAACAATTTTGGCGAGCGCGAATTCGTAAAGAAGCCCGAGAAATTTCAACTAATGGACATCGTTTACGACAAACGAACCCAAGTTCTGAACCACTTAGTTGAATCTCAGCTGAACAAATCGGTGTACCAAGTAATGAAATTGATTTGCGATGAAAAGGCCATGAAGCAAACCATGCTTCGCTTCAACATTGACACAGACCAAATGCCGATGGGCAAAATCAGCAAGAGTCAAATCAATGTTGCAGCGAAGGCTCTCAAACAGCTGTCGCGCATTGTGGAAAGTGATTTTGTCAGACTGGAGAGTGATTTTATTGAGGCATCAAATCGATTTTACACCATGATCCCGCATAAATTCATTCAAAAGCGACCGCCCATCATAAACACAACCGAAATGATTGCATCGAAAATGGAGATGCTGGAACGTCTACGCGAGATTGAGTTCACGTACAGTTTGCTGAACGACACCGACAACATGCAAAATCCGCTAGACCATCTATATCATAAACTGAACGCAGACATCTCTCCGCTGGACCGCAATTCGATTGAGTATGGCGCATATTGATGTTTTTATTATATGTTCCTAATTTTTGTTTTATCAACTCAAATTTCAATCACATACACCATTTTTGGTCCTAGGTATGGCCAAATCATGACATACGTTGAGCAAACACATGACCCCGATTACCATGAAGATAAAATTGAAGTGCTAGACGTTCTTGAAGTCGTTCGGCATGGTGAGGAGAGTCGTTTCGAGCCATTCAAAAATTTCAAGAATCGTACATTGCTCTGGCACGGTAGGTTTTAATTGATTTTTGATGATTCATTTAAACATGAGCATATGCAATCTTTTAATGACACGCCACGTCAAGAAATCAATTAATCCAAAGAATGCATAACTCACTTTTTATTCATTTATTTAATCAAATCAAACGTTGCCATTCCAAAGATCATAATAAAAGGACAATAACAAATTTATGATTGCTCGTTGCAGGATCTTCCTTGACAAATTTCGTTGGAATACTTTCCACTGGTTTGAAACTTGCACCACCGGATGTAATAATTCATGGCAAAGCGTTCGGAAATGGTATTTATTTTGCGGATGCTGTCGCTAAGTCGTCGCATTACTGCAATACATCGGAAGAAAATGAGGCATTGCTGCTATTGTGTGAAGTTGCACTTGGAGACATCTATGAAGCTTACGACTTTAACTCATGCCTGATGGGCCCACCAAACGGAAAGCATTCAGTGAAAGGCATTGGTTCGGGATATTCACGATCCAAAATTACTCGTGCCGATGGTGTTCTGGTCCCATATGGACCTGTGGTTTTTGGTGATGAATACGAAACCGATTTAGATTTCAACGAATACATTGTGTACGATGAAGGTAATTATTTATAGTGATTACGTAGGTAAATTACAATGAAACTATTCCTAAAGCTTCTTTTCATTCTTTTGGACTTTCGCAGCCCAAGTCAAAATTCGCTACCTGGTCAAAGTTAAAATTACATCATTCGATGATTGTGATGATGATCATGGTTCATGTTGTAGCTGTAGCGCCTGTGCAACTGACATCGACGTTTGTTCTTCTGGCGAAGATACTATCATTGAAATAAGCGACTAAGATATCTATTTATTCCATAAAAAAACATTTTTTCTACAATATTTTGTACGTTTTTGTACGTTGTTTTGTACGTTGTTTTGTACGCATTTTTCTTGAACACGTTTTCTAAAATTCAAAAATTTATTGCATTGAATTTGAATAAAAATGCAGTCAAACAATAGATTTAAAAGGAACATTTTACTATTTATTTTATTCAAAGTAAATTGATTCGTCTATTTGGGAACATATTTTAAAAGTTTCAATTCATGCGTCAGCCAAATTGCCAGTGACAAAAGAATCAATGATCCTGATTGATGCGTAGCTGCAACGGGAACGGGTACATAGGTAAGAAGCGTGGTAATGCCAAGTCCAACTTGAATCCATCCCATGATAGCGAGCGCTGTTGCGGCTGCATATGCACGGCGTGGCAAATTCACTCGTTTCGACATAAAATACAATCCCGTAATCAATCCCAATGTTGAAATGCCCAAAATTCTGTGATCAAATTGAACGGTAGTTGGATTCTCAGTGAAATTTCGGATCGTCGGTGAAAATGCTAAAATATCTGATGGAATCCACTTGTCGGCCATTTTTGGAAAACTATTGTAGACGAGACCTGCATCGAGTCCAGCAACAAACGCTCCTAAATACAACCATGTGAACAACAAACAAAATCAGTAAGAATAGAAAAATCGCTTGACCAAACTATCTTGACATACCTGATACAGCCGTCAAGAAAATGAGGCCTTTTGTCGAATGTGCTATAGCGCGGAATCGAAGAGCCGCTTTTGAAGCGATTGCCCGGAATTCGCCATGTGATGGCAACGTTTCAGCCGGAATCAAATGATCGAGCGCAGACCACAAGAATCCAGTGTACAGTAAAAATGCTAAGGATAAATGCGCTGCCAAACGATATTGAGAGACACGTGGAACGTCTTCTGGCTTATGGAATCGATCTTCTAGGCCTGATTTAACCATGTACCAGCCCATCAAACCCTGAATGCCAATCAATGCACCAAAAATGGATAGTTTCAGTCTCATTCCTTTTTTCAAGTAGCCACGATACCAAAAATATGCGGCAGGTAGGGCAAAAAATCCACCAATAAATCGGCCCCAAGTTCGATGTGCATACTCCATGAACCAAATCATTTTGAACTCATTCAGTGAAATCTCCTTATTTTTTCTGTAAAAACGAATCGAAATCTTGAGTCAAATTCGTATGAAAAGTGGGCGATAAGACAAAAAATGTTCCGTTTACATTTTAAACTCGGGAAAATGTTTATATTTCTCAAACTCTGTTTTCCATTCGTCTTCAGTATGAGGTAGATTTTCGCCAAGCAGTTTCCACGTAACCATCGACAGGCCAGATTCAGTGAGTCGTGTTACTCCGCCTAAGTGGAAAAAAATACCCCATTAGATCTTCAACGCAAATCAAAAAATTGTGAAGAAAATAGCTTTAAGCAATCTTATTTTATTGGATATATTTTGTATCATCAATTCTTGTTGTAAATGATTCATTCGTTCGAAATAACAAACAATCACAGGCAATTTCAGTACTTCTTCGATGTTGGGTCTAGAGCTTTGCTTAGCACATTACGCACGCTATAGTATGTAACATAATAATAAGTAGCTCCACCTAAAACAACGGCTGTAAAAACCATTCCACTGCATCCCAACAACCATTTTCCGACTAGTTTTTCTTTATTCGAATCTGTTGCTTTCGGTCCTCCATCGGCAAAACGACGCAAAATCTGGCTGTTTCCATTCCACGGTCGACGGCATGTTAGGTTTATCTATTTTAATTGAAGAAACAAATGCGAATTTGATATCATTAACAATGTATATATTTATGCGTATCCACGATAACAAAAATAGGCACAAAATTTACGCACATTTTTTGTCTGTTGGCTAAGCGTATTCCTTGAAAACAAATTGGATTGATTTCGAATCGATTGAGTAAAATGGTTTTGCACTCCGAATTTCCAATGTTGACTGCCATATCGAAATGCGTGTGTCGCCAGTTTCAAATTAATCAACATCTTGGCTAGTAATATAAACTCCCTACACAAACAGTGATGAAAGCATTAATTCGCTTTTTTAAATCCTTTTTTAATTTGTCTTATTTCCTTCAATTTTTACACATTAAAATGTTAGTCAAACAAATGTTGACGCAATGTTTTGCTTTTACTGCGAAATACTTGCAGAGGCAATTTTTGAGGTTATGTTGTTGCAGTCAAATGTCACACCAATGACAGCTGGACACACATACACGCATATTGTGGAACAACATCCACTTGGGTGGAATATGTTTTTTGATTTTGGTTTCAATTACTACAGTAATTTCCAATTTGAATTAAAGTCTATGTTCGAGAATTTCCCACAGAAGGTATTTTACCAATAAACATTTGAAACTCATTTCATTTTTCAATAGAACAGATATTCAATATAAATTGTAAGTGGTTTCAAAACTGTTTACTCGGTAGCACCGTGAATAAAAATAATAATCAAAGAAACATTCCTTTGACAGTTCGTTTGTCGTCGCTATTTTTATCACTCTCCAATTCAAAACAACAATTTTTTTTTCAGTGGATTGTCAGTAAAAATCATCCATAATTGCGTTATCAGATTGTATTTTTCTGTTAGTTCAACATTTTTCGTTCACAATTCATTTGGAACAAATTGTTTGTTGATTTAATATTCGCACGGTGGATTTTTAAGCCAGTTTGCATTTGCATTTCGTGAAATAATTGTTTAATTTGCATAAAAATGAGTTTTTTGGGAAAAGTTGTTCTTATCACAGGCGCGAGTAGTGGGATTGGTGCGGCAACAGCACATCGTCTAGCAAAACAAGGAGCAACATTGGCATTGAGCGGTCGCAATGTGGAAAATTTGAAAGCGGTTGCAAAAGACGTGGGCGCTGATAAATCATTCGTTGTGCCGGGTGATGTGACCAAAGAAGCGGATACCGAGAATATTCTAAAGAATACAATTGAAAAATATGGAAAATTGGATGTGCTAATCAATAATGCTGGTATCCTGGAGACGGGCTCTATTGAAAATACGTCTCTCGAGCAATTTGACCGATTGATAAACACCAACGTTCGTTCGATCTACCATTTGACGATGTTAGCTGTACCGCATCTCATCAAAACCCAAGGAGCAATTGTGAATGTGTCAAGTGTGAATGGCATTCGTTCGTTCCCCGGTGTTCTTGCCTATAACATTTCAAAAACAGCTGTCGATCAATTGACACGTTGCGTTGCCCTTGAGTTGGCCGCAAAAAATGTTCGGTAATTTAATCTATTTAAAGCTAAGAATATACAAAAATTAATCTATTTAAACGTTAAAGTTGCAACTCAGTCAACCCTGGAGTCACAATAACAAATCTTCATAAACGGGGAGGGATGACCGAAGACGCCTACGCCAAATTCTTAGAACATTCAAAGACAACGCATGCAATGGGTAGGCCTGGACAGGCAATCGAAATCGCCGATGCGATTGTATTCTTAGCGGGCGATGCTTCAAGCTTTATCACCGGCGTTAATCTACCTGTCGATGGAGGAAGACATGCCATGTGCCCAAGATAAGCTGAAATTCAAATCGCCAAATCTGACTTACAAGTTGTACCGAATGAAGTTCCATTGTTGTTGAATTCATAATTGTTGGAATGCTGTTCATGTATCAAAATAAACTCTTTTTTGCAAATTGTTTGTTTGTACAGAGCTTTTTTCACATCTTTCATCCTAGGCTTAAACATCAATCAAATATCTTGAGTTTGGACGATAAGGAAATGATAAAAATACATTTATATGGGAAACGTAGAGACATTTTGATTTTATTTTTAGATACTACATTTTTACTTCACATGATGAATCAATCACATGAATGTTTTATCTGTATTCGAGTGCCAATTTACACAATATTAGCGGCCAATGCTCCTCCGTCCACACCGAAAAGATTTCCTGTAATAAAATTTGCATCATCACTGGCTAAAAAGGCAATAGATCTGGCAACGTCAGTTGCTTCTCCAACCCTACGAAGTGGATATGAGTTTGTTAGATAGTTCAATCGTTCACTCGGCGTCTCGGTCAAAGAAGTATTTACACAGCCAGGATTTACAGCATTAACCTACAGAAAGTAATTATTCCAATTAGATTTTTTTTTTATTTGAGTATGTGTACATTTAAATTTTACACGAATGCCCCTTGGACCCAATTCGACTGCGATGCACTTTGTAAACTGATTCAGCGCAGCTTTTGACATTGAATAGGCCAGTCGAGATGGACGTGCCCGGGTACCAGTAATCGATGAAACATTCACAATATTGCCTTTCGAGTCTTCCAAATATGGCGCGGCTAACTTGGTTAAAACTACAGCACTTCTAACATTCGTATTCATGACGAGATCATAATTTCCCATGTCTAAATCCACTAGACCCGTAGCACTGATAACACCAACATTATTGATCAACACATTCAATTTGCCGAATTTCTCGATCGTTTCGTAGATTATGTGGTCGGCGTCTTGAGTTAAATCAGCAACAATCGTGAACGGAATGTGATGACCTGCTCCAATAATTTCTTCAGCAACGTGATTTAATCGATCCGAATTGCAATCGACCATTGCTAAATAACCACCCAAACTGGCCAAGAGTTTTGCTGTCTCTGCTCCAATGCCCGATGCAGCACCAGTAATAAGAACAACTTTCCCCTCGAAGCTCATTTTTGTGACTGACGACAAATTAATCTTCGAACAATTTTCGGTTTGAATCAAAATCGTCTTATCCAGAGCTGTTATAGGCACTGCAAAAGTGCGGACACTTGAATCAGTGCGGCACCGACATTCTTTTTGAAAGTATAATTCTTGAGTATTTTTGAAAATTTTCAAATTTGCTAGTTTTTTAAAGAAATAATATGATTTTATATTGCTGAAAAAAATATGAAATTATAACTTATTGAATTTTTTTTTTGTGATTAGCACCTAGTACAGGTGCGGCACTCAAAATCTAAGTGCCGGCACCGATTGGGTGCCTATAACAGCTCTGCTATTATCTTTTTGGTGATAACAATATGCCAGTATGTAAGATAACAATATGCTTATTGGGAAAGATAGCGAGTGATGAATTTAGTAAACACATGCGTGCAACGAAACAACTACATTGAATCTACATTTAATCACCGCGTGAACAAAATTCTAAACGAAAAGTTTTCAAAAACAATTATTATTTTATATTGAAATTATCGCGCAAATGCACGACAAATCATGACATAATTATAATCAACCACCAAATAGAGAGGCAGGCGTATAAGTAAAACTTTATGGTTGTATTGAATTCACCAGTTGGAATTACTTATTTATGCAAAGATTTATCATGCAATTTATTCTGTAGAAAATATAAATAGTTCCAAAGTTTCGAAAACTTCCGAATATATTTCACAGTAAATTGTTTCATAGGAAGTGTTTACTTCGTTTTCATGAAATAATTTGATGCAAGGTGATTTTTTCTTCTGTAGAAATCTCACATGCATCGTTTGAGGTAGATACTAATTTTAAAACTCTTTCTTCAATGCAATGCATTGATTGCAAAGTTAGAAGAATTTTCACTTTCTTACTGCAAATGTTTTTTTTTTTGCTTCTACAATATGCAAACTCCTGCTCGTCTTACTTTTACTTCGTTTAAATATACATGTATGTATAATGCCAAAAGCATTGATGTAGAGCGTAGAATTGTGTGAATATTTTGTGTTGTTGAATTGTTAAAAATTTCATTGGAATATTTAAAATTTTATTGAGTTTTTCATGTGAAAGACTACAAAACATATTTCTATAAATTTTCCTTCTCCATGGTCTGTATTCCGAATTTCCATTCAATGCATAACATAGTACAATGAAGTCGAGGTGTGTTCAGTCGGTGGTTCATTGAATCTGCTCCAAATGGCTGTGTGAGCAGCAGAAGCGGCTGCTGTTATAAAATGTAACTGCATGGAAAATTTGCTGTTGACTACCGTTTTATTATTACCATGTCATTATTGAGTTGATGTTTCGATTTTTATCGTCATTTTTCAATATTATGCGTTGGCATAAAATGCTGTTATCACTTCACACCAACGTATGAAGTGTCTCATTTTTTCTGCAATGTTACAAGAGCTTGTCGAATAACTTAATAATAGGGCAGATGAAAAACTGACTGATGAACGGAAAGCGAGTAAGCTGATGAAATCAGTGTGTGTAATATGAAAACAAAATTCGCATGAGAAAAAGACTCACCACCCGTGCCACCGCCACGCCGCAACAATCAAGAATAAAATTGAATTTGACGCAACATCTGTTCCTGGCTGCTTTTAAACGTTTCGTCCCCATCCTTAAACTTCCACACAAAGTGAACAATGATGTGGCTGGCATGTATTGACGCAATATCTTTTTGGCTAATGTTAGCAAAGCCATACGTAAGACGTACTCTGCGTGTCTGCAGAAGAAAGAAAGAAAGAAGTAAAGCATAAGCGAAGAGTGAAGAAGCAGAGATTTTAAGCTAAACAAGTCTTTATAGATAATCAGTATTCCAAAGAGATCTTTTTTTTTGGTTTTGCTATCAATTTTACTGGATTCTGCTTATCTAATTAAAAAGAAAACCTGTCAAAGCCATTGTTGAGTTATCGTGCTGATTTCTAGTTGCGGATTTTTGTTTAATATGCAAAGCGGATTTCGACTCCTTTCACTAGCGACACTAGAACCTTCGTCCACATACATCATATATACTATATAATATCAACAATCTCAGTTAAAGTACCCACGCATTAAGCTATTTTGTCATTGTCATTGTCAAAAGGAAAGCGGATTGCAAACAAGCTAAGATAACACTCTATAATTTATAGAAATTCCTGAACTATACCTAAAGGTATGCACACAGTGAAGGCGTCGGTTAGAATTTCGCATTTACAAAATGGAAAATCCAGATTGGACGAACACATTTAATTGAACACTTTTGAACGTGATGCAACAGTTTTTGACTCTGTTCTGGACACGCTGCTAATTGGTGGAAAAGTTGTTAACGCAAAGCTGATTTCAATTCAAATTCAAATTTCAAATGACAGTTTAGCTTCTTAGCGAATTTCACTGTCACGAGTTGTTAAGTACAAACAGCGTTGATAGCTTTTCGCAACCCATACCCATTCATAAAATGAAACATTCTCAATCACATTCAAAATCAGTACTCAAATATCACGTGGGGTTGAATACGAGGTGAAAAATCTGCTCATCTACTCGGAAGGTCGATCAAAATTACAATTTTCACAATCAACTTTATCATCTCCATTCGGCTGCTACCGTTGATTGTTCAACGAGGCATAACACACCGCATATTTTTCATTATTCATTCACTGTTATTCCAACGCGCAAAGTTCACATATTATTAAATGCTTGCCATGCAAAACTAAATAATAAAATTCATAGTGATATTAGCTGAGATTACGGAAGCGTAATGACATGTTATTGCCCTTCGACTAAATCGTATGAACAGACAGATGTGATACCATTATGTGAATTATGTTGAACCCTTTCGAAGCGAATTTTCGGAATTCATTGCACGTTGAATACTGAACCTGCACCATAGATCATCAAAACACACACAAAAAAAGAATACCAATGTATCATCGCATCGCATACGCATGTAAGTGAATAAAAGCACTTCTGTTCACACCATACACATCGTCGTTCAGTTTCAAAACTGACTGGCAGAGAGAGAAATCGGAGGGAAAAAAAATACGCTGTGCACTTTTATCACACAGACGCACTCGCATATTCACCATCCATCCCATTCAAGTTTGCTTGCTGGCTGGCTTGCTCAGTGTATGGCATATATACACTGCATGGTACGAAAAGCCTTTAGCTTTCAATTCAACGTAACCGTCGAACGATAGCGACTGAGCAGAGGCATTGGCAGAGAAGAAAACTAGCAGCACACTCCGAAATCGACAACATTCGTTGACTAAGCGTCACGTTGAAAGGACTTGAAAAGGACTTGCAGTCGCACGAACAAACCAACAGCGCCAAACGAATCATTACTCGTCGATTAATTGGTTCCTTTGGTATACCAGTCGAAGTACAAGTAAAAGTTGATCAAAGTGTTGTTACTGTGATTTTCATGTTGTTATTCTCATTGTTTTTCTCTCTTCATCGTAGTTTGACTGTTGTACATTTTTAAACGTGAACAAACAAAAAAGAAACGGAAAAAAAACAAATTGTTGCTTTGAAGATTTACTTTGATGTACATTTACTGGAAATTATTTGAAAAAAAAAATTGTTTTTAAAACCCAAATATTTTGTGCTTTTCTCTTCCTTTTCTTTCTTTCAAAGAGTTTCACTTGACGTCGTCAGGTCAATCCAGAAGTTTGAAACGTTGGACGTGCTAAACGAAAACAAAAACCTACCCACACAAAAAAACCAACACAATGAATTACTACTGCGTGCTGTTTATATTTTTCACAATTTGTTCTACAATTATGTTCCTTGCACCATCCACGATGGCAAATTATATTGACGTACCGCCAGGTGAGTGTAATCTTAAGCAAAAGATCCATGAGCAAATATTTGCCAGCTCTTTATGTCTTTGGTGTGTTAATTTTTAACTACAACATTTGTATCGGCGTAGTCGCCCGAATTTTTTGCCTGATTCCCCCCGAAAAAAAAAATTCTAAAAACTCATACCAAACATGCACACGCATACACGCACATCATTCCGTATAAAGGCGAAAAGAAAAAAAATTATCTGCACAAATGGCCAATTTGAGAATAAAATCGTAAGCGCAATGTGATGGAATGGTACGGTGATTTTGTAGCAAACGCAGCACACAACTTTTCATGTGCTGAAAGTGAATTGCCTACCGCCCATTTCCCTGAGCGAGAGAGAAAAAAGTACAAGACTTTGTAAACAAAGTCTCTTTAAATATTTATGAGCAAATAAAAATCTGGCTTTTTTGATTTTCTATTTTAAAGGAGATAAAATTTGTTATCGAAACCAGATCGTAAAACTCCGCCGAACCACTGCGACACGAAAGACCATATGTTTGCACGACAAAATAGACTTGGAAGAAAAATGTGTGCAAAACCACCACCCAAAAAGTAAACGTACCATAGCGAACATATATATTTTGTTTGGTTTGGTGTGGTTTCAGTTCGTTTTCGATATATTCTCGTAAAATAAAAAGCTATTTTTTTTGCACGTTTCTTTCTCTCGGTAACACCAAACTGAAAAAGAAAGTTTTGGACATTTATTTTTCAAACAAACACTTTCAATAGGTTTCATCCTATTTTTCTTCATATTGACCCTACGTATGTGGTGAAAAGAAAATATTGCAATTCAGTTCAACGCCCAGTTCAACAGATGGATGGGCTGAAAATGGATTCAGTATACGACTTCTAACATCCATATAGATATCAATTGGGTCCGTTTGATTTAGTGTTATCAAAATGGATTTTTGAAATCGTAAAAGAAAATCACGCGACACTCTTTCATTTTTATTAGAATTCCATGACTAGAATTTATATTTGCACCGTTGAACGAACATGTTCACATCAGTGAAGAGCGTGTAACGAATGTTATTAACACGGTTTACTTTGGTCGCATCTTCAATTCCGCCACCGCAAGGTGACTTTTCCAGGAAAAGAAACCCATGAATGTGTGTGTGTGTGAGAGGGAGAGGAAGAGGGAGATAGAGAGAGAAAGCGCAGAGCATGTTTGCATTTGCAATTTGTTCCTTTTTTACAACAACAATTTAACCGGAAGCCATTATCTTGCTAATAAATTTTCAGCACAGTGTTCCTATATCGCGAAGATACACGACTCATATGTAGAGGCATGAGAGTCGTCCTATTTTATGCAGTGCTTCAGTGTTTACCTTACTCATCGTTCAGGAATTAATTAATTGTCTGATGGTGTTAAAACACGACTTTTTTTTCTACACTTTCATTTCCTCTTCATTTTTCATTCGCTTCACACCCAGTCCGAATACCATTAGAAGTAAACGTACGGAATATGGATTTTTTTTTCTTCATTCTCTTCGTGCTGTTATGTTTTTTTCTTGTCCTAATAACAACATCGAGAGACTTTGAAGTTCCCTCTTGAGCCGTATATCCAACATTCTTAGGAATATAATAAACTTTTTCAACGCAGTGCAAAACCACGCTCACTGGTACGCAGGAAAGTAATCATGTTTCACTTTAGATCGTGCATTTTATTACAATCCTTCATCCAACAACGGCATCCAACCAAACTGCTGAAGAGAATATTTTCTCTGCAAAGGTTAACCACATCATGACGCTAAAATAATTTATAGTATGTATCGTTTGTTCGTTTGTTTGTTCATCTCCACCGCTAAATATCACCATCGCCTGGTATCCCATACATGTACATATGTGGATGAAATAAATCAAAATTGCCATGGAAATTGGATAAAGCACGTTTGTTCAGGCGCTTTGATTTCGAGAATTAAGTCTGAAAATTGAATGAAATAAATTCGAGCGAAAAAATAACGACAAGAAACAAACAAAAGGATAAAAACATAAAAATAGTTACGCGTTCGGATGATTGAGATAAATGCCAGTAGCGACAAATTCACAGCAAACCTAAACTCCGTGAATTGAATACAACGAAATGGAATGATAAACAACTTCATCACATTTATTTTTCTCTTTTTCTTTTCATGTTTTTTTCATCTGATTATTGAAGCGTCTACACATGAAACCGTGTGTTGTGAGTGCACAAACACTTGTTACGTCAGAAAATTTACGTGTACTAATGTATTTGGCTCATGACTTATGGTATAAGTTTTAACATCAGTCAAAATCCACTATGGTGCGCTGTGTGTGTGTGTTGTTTGCCGCCGCGAGACCTACAGCAACACCGAATCTTCGACATGGCTTCATTTTGTTATGTTAATATGGACATTTCTCACCATAGCTTTATTTGCTTTATTTGAGTTACGTGAAATAATGGAGTGATTACTACTATGATACACAGGGATGAAAATAATTTTGCACAAAGTTTTCGACATTCCGTCAGCAGTTGCGTCGTGCACTGCAATGAGGGCAAAACCATTAGAGTTTTTTTTATGTACTAGGCAACATGTGTTAAAGGCCAATTCCCAAAAAGTTACAACCGTATTGCTCGAAAACTGGTTCCAACATTCAGACGTAATGTTATCGTAGGATGATTCATTAGATTTTTCTCACCCACAGATCAACCATCTGGATAAAGACTTTTTCTTTATCTAACACGGTTTTTCATTCTGACCCCGTCATTCTCACAAATGAAAGAAAAATCGATGAGTGTGAGCGGTAGTCGTTTCCGGTTTTTCCTCGAATCTATCTGATCTACGTATACATTGCCAATAAAACGCACCAACTCAACTCAATTCACTCCACTCTAGTCGCAACTTTTTTTTCCACATCATACCCAATATTTGCGTTTGTAAAAACTAGTGCAACTTATCCAATGTATTGGGTTTATCCGCATTCAGTTTGCCACCTGCATGTATGCACGTTGCACTGGTAACTTTGTTGCCGAACAAACAAGCAAACTAATCCAAGCAATTTTGTTTTTGTTACTGTTGATGTTCCACTGAGTAATAGTCCAGATTTGCTGCCATTGAAAACTATGTTAGATCTCTGGATGTATAACCTGTATATGGTTGGTTGAAAATTTTCCAAGAAAATAATGTGCAGAAACATGTGATATGGGTGTGATTTTGGCTTTGGTTTTGGTTTCACTTGTGTTGATGTATATGGTCAATGGTCATCCTTTGTTCAACTAGAGGCAATCGGTAGTCTTGCTACGGGAATTATTGGTGTGAAGGAATCCAATGGGAATGTGAAACTTTCATAAATTTAAATTGTCATTTAAATGCACGAAATGAACGACGGCTACAAAAAAGAGAGAAATCATTTCCAACTCTCGACAAAGTACGATAGCCGAACGCAGAAGAAAAAAGCTTTTGAAAGCAAAGCGTGCTCATGAAATTTTTATTGAAACAATTTTCTTTTTTCTGTTTGAAATGAGCGAAAAAAAATCCACTGTTAATTGCCAACAATACAGCGAAATGCCATTTACACACTGGAAAAGTACACATCGAATGCGAATTTTGGAAACTATGTGGAAATCTGTGTGCAACTGTCAGATGCGAGATTATCGTCCAATATTTCGTTAACGCTGCTTGTTAAATGCAATCCTATTAAAATTTAACATCTGTTTGCGAACACAGATATCCGTTTTTTCTTCTTTTCGTTCAAACTCAAGAAAACAAACGAACAGAGTTTTTTCTCTTATAAAATTCTTTAATCGACGAGCGAGAAGCACAGTACTTCTCAAAATAACATTCAATGGATGTGCAGTGCATTAAGGATACTGATTTTCATTTTAAGATGATTGTTTGCTTAATGAAGCTTTGACCATGATGAGTTCAAATAAATTTCGAACATCGTGGGAATAGCGGAAAAAAAGTTTGAAAACAAAAGCGAAATGTTTAACGAAAATTGACGCTTTCATTACAGTTTTCAACAAATAAATAAGCCTTTCATTTGCCATTGATGTTTATATTTGATTCTCATTTGAAAAATCCTTTTGACGAACGCATGTTTTCCAGTTAAAATTATATTTACTCAAACGAGCAATTAGTTGCTTCAGTTTGTGTAGCCGTAAGTGGTTATTCAGTGGAAAATGTGCGATGTAATTGCTGTTAAGCCTTTGGGATACGTGTTGTATAATTGGCATTTCATTCAAAACATTATTTCCGCATTTCAAACGGAACAAAATGCGTCAGATCATCAGGTGTTTTCATAGCGCTCATTACGACAATGTTTCATTTCCACTCACGTTTCAAGCTTAAGTTTCCAGCGTGTATGTATGTGGTGGGAGTTTTAAATGGATAATCTTTTTTCTGCACAGTATTATGGTTTCATAATCGATATGAATCCTGATCTTGCATAAAAATATGGCAACAAAAATACAATATGTCCAATTGAATCGATAACCAATCACAAAAATTTGTGTATATTTGCATTCGCTGGTTAATTCCTTTCATGCTGTGTGATGAATTGATTTTTATTTTGCAAAAAAGAAGAGAATATAATCATCTTTAAAATTCTCTTTGATTCACGTCCGTAATGACATTATCCAGCGTTTCCAATTCAATAACGAATAATGAAGTTTTAATGATACAATTCAGCTATCGACGAGAGAGTGCTTGACGTCACCATGCGGGAAAAAGACGTTAATAAATTCTATTTGTGTTGAATTTTTTTTTTGACGGAAATGAATCGTTGACGAAAGAATGCTGTTCAACTCTGCGATCATTTGCCCGAAGTAATGTTTTATTTGCCGCAAATTGTGTTTTCATTACAGAAATGAAAACGCATCATGTAAATAAGCCAACAAGCACCGGGTTGTAATGATAAATATTCTTTTTGCAGTGAAATTCGATGCGATCTCGTTTCTCTTTCCATGACACAGATAAAAATGGAAATGGCAATATTGCCAGACGATGCACTTAATCTAC